CAACAACAACAACAACAACAACAACAACAACGACAGCGACAACGACAACGACAACGACGACGACGACGACAACGACAACGACAACGACAACAACAACAACAACAACAACAACAAAAATAGCAAAAACAACAACAATAGCAAAAACAACAACAACAACAACAACAATAACAATAACAAAAACAGCAACAACAACAACAACAACAACAACAACAACAACAACAACAACAACACGATAGCAAAAACAACAACAGTAGCAAAAACAATAGCAAAAACAACAACAACAACAACAACAACAACAACAACAACGACAGCGACAACGACAACGACAACGACGACGACGACGACAACGACAACGACAACGACAACAACAACAACAACAACAAAAATACAACAACAACAACAATTAACAGTAACAACTACGACGATGAACAACCATAACAAACAGCAGCGATAACTGACACAAAAACAACTTAAAGCTAATTTAAGCAAGCCCTAGCTATGCTTACACCTGTTTTATATATATATTGGTTGTCAATAAAATGATTATTATTATTACGTCGAATTTCGGTTGCGTCGAATGCAATTCAAACATAGATAATGAAGCTTAATGAGGTTTTGTAATCTAATTTTCTATTGTTTGAATTGCATTCGACGCGACCGGCAAAATTCGACGTATAAAACGGGCCTTATTAATTTAAGCCGTATTTACGTTGGATTTTCAATCTAATTTGTTTAATTATGTAAACTATTGTTTGGCCCTACTAAAACAGTTTACTCGGTCAATCACAGAAGCAAAATCTCATAGGCACAATTTATCGTACATCAATACTAATTTATATGTCACGTTGAAATATGCTTCCACTGTTATAACAGACAATAGGCCATTGCGGGATTCGCGACGCCATCTTGAAGAATTGTTTTTAGTTTTTGTTGCATGCCCATATATGGGCATGCAACTTTCATATAGCTCTAAATTTCGTGTCGCGGTGTACGTACGGGCGGTGGTAAATCACGTGACAGATCGTAAAATACGACAAATACCGAGTTTTCCGACCATAGTCCGACAATATGAATCAATATGCACGCTTTCGTTCACGGTTTTTGTCGAGGAAAGAAATAATATTTTAATAATCAAATAATAAATATTTTAGTAATCAGCCAATCAAATAGTCTGAGCGACTGGATTGGTGCTTCCCTCTTTCTTATAGTCCAATCAGAGCCTTTGTTTTCAAATCGTTTGTGAATTTCAACTTGCAATTTGTTCGCGTCGTTTGCAAATTGCTCAGAGCAATCTGCCTATAAAAATTGCAATATTGTGGGACATTATTGCAATGTTGCTCGCAAGAGAACATCCGGTTTGACAGATCGGAAACTTATTGAATCAATATTTTAAGTTTCATGCCAGTTGTGCCAAAATTTATAAGCGCATGCGCACAATAAAGGTGGATTTTCATGCAGTGCAAAATGTCGTGTGATCGACATTTTGCGATCACTTTCTTTTGAAATATAAGCAATCAAACGCAACTGATCAGGTTGACTGAACGCATTTCAGAAGAAAGTGATTGCAAAAACTTGATCTCGCGATATTTTGCACTAAATGGAAATCGGCCTTAATAGGTCGTGGGCCGTTGGCCAAAATTATGTCGCTTCGTGGCAACCCCCTGGGGAATAGATTTTCTGTAGTTCAATGCATAGTAATATAGATGCTCTACCACAAAAAGTTCCCAAGCAAAAAAGTTGCCAAACAACGACAGCAAGAAAATGTGAAATTTTGAATTCAATTACAACAAAAATGACTTGCGTCAACAGAAATCTTACAAAAAACTGCATATATGACTTTTAAACAGTTTTTGATCCTTCAAATAGTCTTTGAGTTATTGCTGTTTTAAATATGAAAACTGGACCAGAATGTTGCAATAAGAAATGGTTATACTAGATCAAAAACGCGTGTTTGATAGCGTATAACTCGAATACAATTTGAGATATAGAAAAACTGTTTAAATGTCTTATATGTAGGTTTTTGTAAGCTTTCATGTAATTGAATATAAAATTTCACATTTTCTTGCTGTAATACAATTTAATAGAGAATAACATGATCGCCCATTTTCTTGGGGTTTGGCAGGTTTTTGCTTGGGAATTACGTTTTGTGGTAATTGAGCATATATGGTACTAGGCATTGAACCACAGAAAATCTATTTTCCAGGGGATTGCCACAAAATTGCTTTTCTAAGCACTTTTTCGCACAATGGTCCACGACCTATAAGGTTTTGGAGGCATGCAACATGTACGCACTGCATACCTATTTTTCACTATTGTGCTTGCCCCACTTGGCAAGATGGGGTCGTGAACCCCGAAATGGCGTATTGACTATTGTATAAGGCGGTGTTGTAAATGGTAAAATTTGAGAATAAGGCAGGTATATAATTTGCAATTTTTTGAAATCGGTTCTCGTAAAACAAAGTCCTTCGATTGGCGTCGTTTAATGTAGCTATACCTCTTGCATTCTAGTTTATTCCCAGTACTATATTTTTATGTGATGGGAAATATACTTATAGACACTCGGAAAAATAGTTATAAACCAACCTTTCTACAAAAATAGGAAAGCCGCCAATATTGCAGTTAATCTGACTTCGAGAGACTCTCTTCAGTTCACAACCAGCGACTTCGGCAAGGTGCAAGTGCCGACCAACTTTCTCAAAATTTGCGATTTACAACAAGTCTACTACAAATTTAATGCTGTTTTACCTGTTTACAATTAAGTCATATTTCAATGTAAAACAGTATATGCAAATTAGTAAGGTAGTCATGCAGTAATCTCCGTGATTTCTCGCAAGTGGTCTTGCATCAATGATAATACTGAATATGTAGTGAGGTATATGTATATTCTTGCATGGGATCCGCTATGTATTAAGAATTTACTTTTGGGCAAAATCGCATTTTGTATCAATATTCGTGTAATTGATCTCTAACTGAATATATATGCTCTCTGTATTAAAAAGATGTATAGCGGGCCTTCATTAAACCGTATTTTAACTTACCTAAGACGTCACTTAAACAAAATATAAGAACGACGATGAGAAATGTTGCAAACGCCATGATATTATATAGTGAAATGAAGAATTACCTCGAAATCTTCGGATAGTTCAACAACATTTGATATTGTTGTGTGATTTATCGCGCTGAAACAGGAACGCGTAATTCAATCTGTCTACGTATTCCGTCAAAGTTTCGCACTGCTGCGATCATAAACATCATGATAGAGGGCATAGAGCTAAATGAACAATCTTCTATGGAAGACTTTAGCTGATTATATTTTAATTCTCCATATTTACTAAGTTTAAACTTCACCTACAGTGTACCTACAGTCATTTTCTGGAGAGCAACAAGCTCGAAATAACAGCTTGAAAATCGCAAATTCCAAGAACAATGATTCAAAAGCCTTGCTAACATTGCACGCCTGCTGATTGGCTTATTACAGTGTTTATGCAACGAAATTTCACACTAAATTTTTATTATTGGGTATTTGGGTTGCAAAGAAAATTCAAAATGACTGTAAAAGATGCTATGCCAAACTATGCTTAGCTTACTTCGTTCTTGAGATATTTAACAATTTTTGATATGCGCACGCAAATTATCATCACAATGATGTCATATTGTATAATAGAGACCTTGCGATTTTAGGACGGCAACGCGACGACGACGGCCAAAACAAACTCCTTCAAATAAATGGTATAGTAAAGATAATTCGTTGTATATTATAAAACGAATGAACTTAATAAGGTCTTAGAAGTTGAAGACATGGATTTTATGGTTGGGAAGAGTTCTGCTAAACCCAGTTGGGAAGAGTTCTACTAAACCCAGTTTGAAGTTGCACTTGTTGCGGCTTGAAATGCAGCCGTTGTATCAAGACGTGAAAATCTGTGATTTGTCGTTGTAAATAGAGCGAGGACAATGACTAAATTATTCACATACAGGTGTATGTACCACAGAATACCACGGTACCACAGAATACCAGTCTGATTTATTTCTTATATAAAATTTGAAGGAAATATGCTATAAACTTTATTTTTGTGATTATATATTAGTTTTAGTCTTAATCAGTATAAAAACAAAAAATGTATATTTTCATAAAATTTCTTAAAAATAATCATGCAGGATTAACAAGAAGTAACATTCTATATTTTCGGTACTTTTTTTCCGCATAATGCCTGTAAAATCCGAATGTTTAAAAATAAGTTTGCAAACCAGCATAATTAATGCTGATCAATACTTTTTCTATGCAACACAGCATTATTACTACACTGGAATCACACAGCGTAATCAATTTTACCATTGAAAAACTGAATTTTTCAAAATTATTGATAAACCTGGTATTCTTTGGTTATACCACTGGTATTCTGTACTGATTTTAGTGTTTAATTTAACTTTCACTAAATTAAGTTAGCAATATCCCACAGTATTATCATGCAACATGACACGCCAAATTCTGGTACAATTTGATAAACTGTTGCTTACTTACCTCCGCACTGGTATTCTGTGGTACATTGGATTCAGTTTTCCACAGAATATTCATTTAAAAAAAAAATAATTAAGTCTAATAATGAAATCTTGCCCCAAAATCCCCAGGAAGGAAAAAATATATCGATAGACTATACTAAAAAATATTAAGGAACCATGTTATATACGTTAGACAAAAGATATGGAACATGTAAATTTTTGCGGTATTCTGTAGTACAGCCGTCGCTTTCCATTGCATGTCGACAAAAACTGAATCATTTGTCTAAAAGAGTTATAAAAGTTTTTTTCAGAAATTAGCCATTGTGCAATTTGACGTCATACTCATAGTGAGGATAATTTGCATCAAACATTGTTAAATATAGGCTCAAGAAAAAACAAGCTAAGATAGTTTGGCAAAGCATCTTATATAGTCATTTTGATTTTCTCTACAATGTAATCATCAAAAAACGATGTGAACTTTCGCTGCATAAACACGTTAAGTTTAATTAGGGTCAGGCAATCGGTGAAGAAAACCTGCACAGGCAAGGCATGCCCTAAATTTGTATTTTAAAAACGGCCAAAAACTTTTTAATTCTAAAACAAAACATGCTCCGAATAAAATCAATCAAGTTTGGTGTATAGCGAAATCAAGTTTGGTGTAATAAAGCAGAAAACAGAGGAAAATTTCAATCACGTACGGGCCACAGGTTTATAAGCGATCCATGCACTAAAAATTCTCGTGATTTTAACATTTCTTCAGTTTAAAGAGGCACTGTGATAAAAAATTTTATTTCCTTAAACGAAAATGCTCTTAAAACTGTATAGTAACTTGTTTTCAAGATTTTTGTTCCCATGCTTAGTTCTTGAGATATTTCATTTTGTTTGTAACCATGTGACGTCATTTACTCAATTACATATATAATGAGATATCAGTAATTGTTGTGTATCTTTGCTATTTTTATCAAAATCTTTCGAAAGATGCGGCGCGTTTGTTAATTTAGCCTACATCATTATAAGCATACTGTTTATTTTTAACAAATCGATCAAAAATAGCAAAGATACACAACAATTACTGATATCTCATTATATGTGTAATTGAGTAAATGACGTCACATGGTTACAAACAAAATGAATTACATACATTCGGGCTTACGAATCGAAAGATTTGCAGTAATAAATTTACGTGGTGTTTCCACAAACAAAACTATTATATTAAAATGAAATATCTCAAGAAATAAGCATGGGAACAAAAGTCTTCAAAACAAGTTATTATACAGTTTTAAGAGCATTTTCGTTTAAGAAAATAAAAATTCCGATCGCCAGTGCCACTTTTATTAAAATTAAGACTGGGCAACGGACATTTAATTATCAGGCTGTTAGTTTCTGGAATTCAATTCGTTAAACAATTCTACTTCTACTTCAGGATAAACGTTGTCTTAATTAAGAAACAAATGTTGCATGAGTTTCTCACTAATTATAGTCATTGATGTAAAATAGGTCAGTTAAATTTTCTAGCGACTTTAGAACTTAGAATTAATATTATTTGTTAATTATCAAGCCCCATTGGGGACGAGTTAATACATTTGTGTATGTGTGTATGTATGTAGGTTTATCAGTTTTATTGATATCAAGTGTTATCGGTCCGCTTGAAATAAAGTCTCTAATCCAATCCAATCGTGAGTTGTTCTTGATATTTTAACGGAATTTTCAACCATATTTCAACAAATTTAGAAAATGTGTATTGCCCAAAAGCCCAATATATATAAAGACCTGCAACCAGGTCGTGATGCTATCTTGGAAAACGTTTATTCACAATATCAATATGCCAATAAATGTGGAGTTAAACACAACAGTGTTATCTATTCTTAAAGTTGTTGGCCGGAAATGGATCCTTGTAATATCCAGCCATAAAACTAATCTACAGATTACAATGTTTATATTCCTGTCTTTCGAAATTATCTTGCATCAATCTTTCGTGTACATAAAATTATTTCTGACAAATGGGCGGAGATCTGTTCCAAGATCCGTCCTTGCATTGCAAGAAAGCGGTTCCCTGTAGTGTGTAACCATGATCACAGTCAAACACTATCACGTCTTTGTGTTTGACGCCAGATTGTGTGCTTATCAACCCATTCTGTGGTGGAGCAAGACGTTTACACGGTGCTAGAAATTAAACAGAGCACGTATTACAGTTGATATTATTAGGGTGTTTAAATGGGCCCTACATGAAAGGCTAGCCTATGTTTATACATGAAAAAAATCGGTCCTCTTGTTGGGGCGGACACGCTTCGGCAAACAACATTATGACCACAAAATGGTCAAGTTCTCCTCGTGTCTTTCTCGTTTTGTCTTGTGGTTTCTTAATTTGCTTGTGAAAGCTAGTTTTATTTCACGTTGCTGACGCCAGCGTGAGCGAGTTCGGCGAAAGGCATGCAGGTGAATTCGAAAAGGTTCACCTGCTCGTAACCATTCAGAAAGCCACTTTTAATACAAGTATTGAATAATGCTCGAAACCCGCCAATTCAAATGGTGCAGTCGTACGTAAAATTTTAAAAAGAGGGGCTTATATAGGGAGGCCTTGTGGCATAAACCACCAGAATTGTTTTATTCTATGGTCTCCAAAAACCGATTTTCTGCATTTTAAGCAATGTTTTTTATCATGTTGAATAAAGCAAGAAAATACAATCACTATGGGTTCATTAGTCGGAATGCCATCCTGGACATAAGGAAAAATAGCTTTACCGGTGTGACTCTACAAATCGAATAGAAATAAATTGGAACAGTATATGTTTGTGATGTTGCTCTGAGTGTGTCCACACCGGGCGAGCTGAAAAGTTTACTTCACCGAGGTGGGATCGAACCCACAACCTTTGGTTTAGCTGTATTCTACTTGTAAAATGATTCCAAATCTTATATTAAAGTAGTAAAAATTTGTTATATTAAGACTAAAAGACTATTTCAGTCTTGTTAAAAATCATAAGGGAGGCTTAGCACACCAAACTGAAAGGGAATTCTAACAAGGGCCCCGAGCACGACCCCCCCCCCGCAACACTACACCACTGCGCCAATCGGCCTACGTACCGTAACATTTCGGAGGATTTCTTATCCATTTGCCACTTTTACATAGTACCGCTGGTTTACCGACCATTACGTAGTTGGCATTGCACTTAAACACAACTTTCCCTCCGTGAAATGAATAGTTCTTGGTTGCATATCCTCCTTCGATTTTTCCCAAAGCTTTGCAGTTTATCACAGGACCTGGATTAAACAAAAGTTCAAATAATAGTCGATTTTACATGCAACATGCCTTGCATTACGCCAAAACACTTCGTTCAAACATTTCTACGAAAGAAAACAACGACAACATTAATCTATTTGTATTTGAACAGTAATTATTATTGCTTCCAAAAATAACCTTATAAGAGGCTAAAAATGTCAGTAGCCCAATGTTCAGAAATTATGACAATCAATTTCGAAGTCGAAATATTGCAATGTCAAAAAGTAACTGCATATAGTGTGATAATATCATGTGATAACATACAAATCATATAATAAGAAATTGGGTTTGATGTTCAACTTCCAAATATAGAATTACGTAAGGCCTGTTTCAGACGGCTTACTCTTCATTTGCCGAACTTAATTGTATTAGATGCGACATTGGAGCGACAGAAGAACGGCAGTGATTCAAACGGCGTACCAAATGCAATGTTATTGACAAGGTTGGGGCGCATTTGCCAGCGAAACCTAACGTCGCTGCAACGTCGCATGATGCGACCAGCTCTGCCAAACTTGTGTCGAACTTTTGTCCAAATTCTGCCGTACTTAATTGATTCATACGTCGCTCTTCTGCCGTACCTAATTCGTCAATTGAGTTCGGCACATGAAGGCAACATAAAATTAGCTCTGCAATTTTGGAACATTTTAGTTTTTATTCAGAAATATTGAATTGGATTCATTTATGTTTTATCACCAATTAGCCTTTCTCACGCCATGCGACCAGGCCTTGCCAGCCATTTTTTGCTGGAAAACGCGCGACAGAGTAAAGTGAATAGTATTTACGTTCTCCCTTGCTTGTTGCTTCCTGTTTGCTATCCAAAAATGGCGGCAAGATCTGGTCGGCTAATTGTCATGTCGCTTCTTGTTAGTTCGTTTGGGAGATTGTTGAACATCATTACTTCTCGGTTCGAACGAATCTCCGATAATAAAAATATATATCAACAGTAAAAAAGAGTACATGTCAAGCCGTGTTTTGGTTACCACTGGCTCTCGCGAGGAAAGCTAAACCTTAGCTGCAACCTATTTGATTAAAAATTTTGTTAAAATTAATTTAAGATTCTTACCTTTCAATTTACATGTTGGCAGAGGTTTACTCCATTGTCCATTGTTTAAACACGTTGTCTCACTTGATCCTGATAATTTCCAGTGGTTATAACACGAAAACGTTCTCTTGGAGCCAGGAATCACGCCAGATCCATTCACAAATCCTTTCTTAATTTTTTTGATATGTGGACAATTCTTTGGTTGAGCTAAACTGTGAGCTAAAGTAAGAAAGTATACATATAGAACGATACCGTATTTGCTCGCTTACGCGCCGCCCTTGATTAAGCGGCGCATATGAGATCAAAATATTAAAGATATTAATATATATAGTGGATTTGATACGTGAAATCTATTTTTTGGTAAAGCTTGGTCGTTATGAATTAACACAGTTCTATACGTAGAAATATGGTGTTCAACTCAAAAGCAGGCCTGGGCATATATAGTGTAAATGTTTTGGCCGTGAGTGCGATAGGATGATTTAAAATAGAAAGTGGAAAACAGAAATTATAGAAAAAATTGTGACCGGCAGTCATTTCTCTTGGGCCAGTATAATCTTTGAAGAGCCAAAATTGTTCTACTCAGTATTGCATGCAAATGGCGCCCGAGCTGCTCTAGCAAATTTTGGCAAATTTTCAAACGTCATTCGTACTATAAATCCTTGATGATTGTATTCGCCATCGCATTATTACTTATAAATATGTTTACCTTGTGTTGTTGTCTCGGTTGTGGCAGAAGTTGTAGAAATTGTCGTCGATGGAAGTTGAACTGAAAAATATACAAATAAATCGACGGCATATATAGTTGTTCTAATAAAGTACATCCTTACTCAAAATATCCTTACAGTTTTAATAAGGCAATATTTTTGTATAGAAGAAGTGGTCTTTCGAAAGAAGAGCGCTTTCCACCGGAAAATTAATTTGAAGCCAGTAGAAGAAAGACTGCATGAACATGAAATATTGAGAAAGTTAAGGAGCGCCATGTTTCTGACACAAAATTTTTATACTGTATGTGTTTTCTTGATTTTTAAAAGATATATCGGTAATAGTAGTGTGTTCCTTCCAGCAACTCAAAGCTATAGCGACTAGGAAATTTTGAAAAGGCTACGTATTTTCAACAAACTGGTAAATTTTTAAAATAGATATTTACAACACAATGTTTATACTCGCATTTTTTAAAAAAGACATTGAATCATTTGAATATAAAACACATGACATAAGATTCACTAAAATATCAAACATCCCTTCTATAAATTCCATTTTTTGTCCAATGTTTGCCTATATTTTAGAGATAAAACACTTTGACTGGGGGGGGGG